TGTGTATGCTTGATCGTTTCAGGCAGCAGAAGAATGTAACTGTTTGGAAACGGGAGGCTTTGAAGGTCTGCAATGGCTCAGAAATGGCTGCAGACTAGGGGATCCGCAATTAAAAACCTTCCTGAGGCTGTGTGCTTATGGGCAGTCCTACCCTGCCATAGCTGAGGCTCGTGGTTGTTGCTTTGCCATAGGTTCAAAGAAAGCAACAACTCCTTAAAATATCAGGTGTTTTGCTTTTTGTTCTTAGAGCTTCCATAAAATGAAGAGCCAAGTACAACAACACTTGAAGAGTGAAGAGAAACTCTAATCTGTAAGTACACACAGAATGAACAAGCCCCTTGGCTTGCACAGCTTTTAAAACAATGTTTGCAACTTGAGAAAAAGAAAGCATCCAATTGTCTAGTTGTTTTATTTCAAACCCATTTTAAAGCTTTTCTGTTTTCATCAGTGGTATCTGTAATTTCCTAGTACAGGAAAACATTGCTTCATCCTTTTTCATATTGCTATCCTGTAGTTCTGCACTGCCTCCTAAGATTGGGAGGCAATTGATTTTGTTTACATCCGTCTTTGTGTGTGTGTGCTCAATGTCATCTAATCTCTGTAAAGTCCAGAAGGGTAAGTTTGTTCTCTTTGATCACATACAGCTAGGGCAGTAATTAATTAGTTTTAGGAAGGTTCCACAGTTTGCATTTTTGTGTGAAAAGAGCGAAGACCTCAAACCAAAGAGAATTGACTGCACGTGTTTTCCCATCCCGTTTGTTCTTCAATAGGTTGGATTTAAACTAAAAAGTGTCAGTATAATGATGACACAACCTGCAAGACATGAGGCAATGAGCTAGTAAGTGAAGTAGAGGTATCACTAAAAGTTGCTTGAAAAAGTCAATATTGCCAACAAAGCCAACACATGATATTTCATATTTGTAACTTGTAGTGTTCTGCTCTGAGCAGATGTTTGTACTCCAAATAGCAGATGTGTGGGTTGTTGGCTTTTATAAACGAGAATTCTGCAGTTAGTCTAGTGGCATAGCCTCCATTACCATAACACAGCATGGAATTAGAGCAAATCGAAAGCAATTACAATGCCCTCAACAGAACGCATCTCTGAGACTAAACGGGGAGGTCTCTGAAACCAAAGCATGTTTAAAACAGACCTGTCTTACAAAATGTTGTTATTTCGTACTGCCTCCAACCCAGTGCATTTCGATGCAGAAATATCAGTTCTGACAAACCCTCATTTTTCTATTTTATTAAACGTGTCAAAAATAGAAATCTTTCATTTGATTTGAACTCATTTTTCCCCCTCCAAATTCCAATGAAACTCCTCAGTTGGGTGCATGCAAGCTGCAAACGCTGCTTCTGCAGAAGCCAACTGTTGGAACACTCGAAGAGCTGTGTGAAGACTGCTAGTCCCTCAGCAGACATAGACTGGGGATGTGTTTTGCAAACCCTTGTTATACAGAGCTCACTGTTTGGCAGAGATTGTAGCAGTGTCATTGTTTTTGACAAATGAGGGTTTTTTTAATGAGCTGATATAATATTGATATAATATAATGATGACCGATGAATCTGGCTGGGAAGATAGGAAGCAATGAAGGGAACAAGCCAGTGACAGGCTGATCTGCATTGGTAAGTCAGGTGCAAAATAACAACATGCATTTTACCACTGCCAAATGCATCTAAGAACCAAATAGGAGCACAGTGCTGATGGAGGCAGTGCAGTGAGGAGCCACAGGTATGACTGGGATGGAGAGAAAACACGTATCTTCTGTCTCTTATTGCTACTTATCTCCAGGTGTGTATAGGGAAAGGCAAAATTTAACAAAGGGTTTAAAATCTGAAGGCCAAACCAGAAGCATGGATTGTGCCTGGAAGCTGAAGATTTACAAATCCTGTCTAGAAATATGGTTCACTTTTCCTCATTGAAAACCCCCCCAGTAGGATAACCAGCAGTGAGGTGAAAAAGAAACAAATTCCTGAAGGTTGGAATGAATATTCTCTTACTGGGAACATTCTGTCAGGGGCCAAATTGTTCTTCTCAATGACATGCTCTGGCCTGAGAAAAGCAGCCTGGAGAAGTCCTGTAGACTGTGCTGCAGAGGAAATCATAGGAAATGAATGGGATGGCCTTGTCCACACTGATGAATCTTGAGTGCACGAGAGTCTTTCTGCTGATCACGTTTCTGAAAGAACCCAGCATCTGGCCCCTTGGCGATCTACCACCTTCTGTCAACCTAAACTGCCTCTGTTTTGGCAACTGACCCCAAGCCCTTGGCACCAGCAGATGTTGCTGTGGCATTCAGATGAAGTGGTTGCCCATCATTGCCTTACGGCTGTTCAAAGCACACGTCCAGCAGAAGTGTAAGTGGTGAGAGGCTTAACACAGAGGAAGACCAAACCTTGCTCCACAACTTGAGCAATGTCACTGAACTGGCAGTAGATACAGGGGGGAGGAAGGCACAGAAACAAGAACTCCTCCTTCAGGAGACACTCTGCCTTTGGATGTGCAATGAGGTAAGTCCTCTCTGCTGTCCTTCCCTTCTTACAGATGTCAAAAGCGGACATTAGTGTGCATGAAGAGAAGCCACCTGAGTGAGGCAGAGCTGCCAGGTACCATCGAAGGAGCTCCTTGGTCTTTCAGACATGGTTTTGGTCTAGGGCATGTGTGGGGAGGAGGCAAGAAGGGATGAGACTGAAATGGAACTCTGTAACCAGGGTGCAACCCCTCTAAAATGCTCTGGAGGTAATGTTAAGATGGTTTAGAAAGCTAGTTTTAACCAAGCTGAATTCAGTACCGAAGCAATGCTCTTACAGCTGGCAAGAGCTTACACGAGCTGACGTTGGCAAGGGGCTAAGCAGCGTGGGGAAGGCACTTCTTAGCTTGACACCACTCTCAGTGGTCTCTGCTGTGAGATATTTACTGGCTCCTGGAGGCTTCTATAGCTCATGATTCCAGTCAGGTTCAGTATATTGCCGTATGTCATAGAATTGATTAATCTTTTGTAAGAGCTGCATTCACTCTCGTTCATGTGCCTCCTGTTAAATTCTGGCCAAAGGAATTGTCAGTTGTATTTCAGGTCAGTTATAGCTATGTGAGTGTGAGTACAACAGGAACCTGCATCTCACCAGAGAGCAGCGTTTCCTCTGTGAAACACACCTTGTGCCATGCTATACTCTGTATTCATCTCACAGTGATATTTCAGTGGGGTGCCTGCAGTACTGGGGAGCTGATAATCTCCTATCATAGATACCAATAGCTTTTCTTTGAAGATTAATGAAAATGACATTTACAACGAAGGGATTTAGTGAGGACTGCAAAATTCTGCAGAAGCCTGCATTTCAGTGCCTTGGCTGCTTATTTGCAGAGAGAAATAGGTCTCTCCCTGTCCCTTTAATAGGAATGTCTGAGGAAAATATCAGCTATCTGGCTTCTGCTTATCTGCTCATTACTGCCTTCAGTTCCAGTGTCCCTGCCAGGCTCCAGAGGGTGATCATGAGGGATCCTTCCTCTCCAAGCACAGCCTTGCTGCTGGGGCTGCTCCCACCAACCCCCATTTCCAGTGCGTTGCCTTTAGGGCTGTGGCACTTTTAAACTCTTAAATCTGCATTTTAAATTAAAACAGTGCCATCTTTTAGAGAATCTTTCCAAATTAAAGCTTAACAGCTCGGAGAAACTGATGAGCAGCTATTGCTGATCCCTTCTGGCTCGTGTGGTTGTGAGGGTGAAACAGTGTCTCGGAAACAAGAGCAGAACTGGAAGGATCTTGCATGGTTTCTGATGCAAGAGCTGCAGTGTGCCAATCATGAGCACCTTGGAGAAAAAATTCTATTGCAACCCAGTTTACTTCCCAATAACAAACTGGAATTACTTACCCAGGTAACTCTGAACTGCAGTTTCAAACAGCAAAGGTTAGCAAGTGCCAACAACCAGCACATCAACTTGAGATACGGCAGTTATATTCATGTTGATTAAAATATCTGGATTCTTAGATGTGTTGGGATAGCTAGGGAATAACTGACTTTTCAATGTATAAAGAGATCTTGATTACTGTAGGGGTGAAGAAACAACAGGAAATATGAGATGCATCACAGAATCACAGAGTGGTTTGGGCTGGAAGGGATCTTAAAGCTCATCTAGTTCCAGCCCCCTGCCACAGGCAGGGACCAGGTTGCTCAAAGCCCCAAAGTCCAACCAGTCTGCTGTGATCAAAACTGGTTTGAAAACCTGTTAAGGGTATTTTCTACCAGAAGTTACATTTAAAATGATAAGAATTCTACCTAATACCTCTTTGGAGCAGTGCTATGTTAAAAACATATAGCATCCTTATTAAATTTGCTATTAACTCTCACCTCGCCTCAGTTTGGGCCCGGCAGGCTTATTTGCACTAATCCAGGATGTCCTTTCCTAACGTTTTCTAACAGCCCATTTTGTAACACCCAGTTACCACATATGAGATGTGAAATGTCCCTGAGCACCAGGACAGCACAGCCAGTGTTACTCAGTCTGGCAGGATCTGAGCAGGATCGCCACTGAGCCTGGAGGGCCCATGGTGTTTAATCCCTTGCTTAGATAACTGGCCATGGAGAAGGAGTTGACTGCAATGTGTGCGAAACTCAGCTCTCGGCAGCAAACAGAATCTGTAGCTTTGATAGAGCAACATATGGTTATTATCTGGCTCTGGGAAGGGCAGATTTGTGTTGCAAATAAACAAACTGATGAATGAGTAGCAGAAAAATCTTAGATTAGTTTAGGTCAGATTTTTCAAACATGCAGATGCTCAGAAGAGAGTACTAACAATACAGAGAGATCAAACCCACCACAGTCCTGTCATTTCTCTCAGGAACTCTTTCCACTACACATTACTAACTCATGCTTGTTTTTAAGGGTATGGCTAGCAACGTCTTAAGGACTAGAGCAGCTTCTCTGCCCAACCTTCTCAGCTATTTTTATTCCAGGCATCCAGGAGGATGCTTGGATAAACTATGGGTTACAGCTTGTACCAGCTGTGAGATTCCGGGATTATCCATTGAGTAAGATCCAGGTGGAAAGCTCTGCTGGCTTTTCAGCTGGGCCCTCTCATTCCTACCTATCTCAGCCTTTATGTATTCTTTCATTCCTAGAACATGTACAAGGAAGATTTCAGGAGCATGATTGCAGAGAATAGGAACAGCAGTGACTCCTCCGCCTTCGCTCACACCAACACCACGAGTGCCATCCTGATTACTGCCTACTCAGTTGCCTTTGCTGGCGGTGGGATCGGGTCCATCACGATGTCATTCGTGCTGGTCAAGATGAACACTCTGTCTGTGACCACTACAGCCATCATTAACCTGGTCATTGTGCACAGCCTCCTCCTCTTCACAGTGCCCTTCCGCCTGCACTACTACGTCAACAAGAAGTGGGTATTCAAGATAACCTTTTGCAAAATAGTGAGTGCAATGGTGCACATCCACATGTACCTGACCTTCCTCTTCTATGTGGTCACGCTGGTGATCCGGTGGCTCATCTTCTTCCAATGGAAGGACAAGGTGGAGTTTTACAGGAAGCTTCACGCCATTGCAGCAAGCGCTGCCGTGTGGGTCTGCGTCATGGTTTTTGTAGTGCCGGTCTTGTGCTTTGAGTATGGACGCTCAGGCTCGTACAATGATACAACATGCTTTAAGTTCCACAGAGAACTACAGCAGGAGAGCGTGAAAGCCCTGAACTACACCATCATTGTAGCTGTCGCTTGCATTACTTGTGTCCTCTTGGGCTTGCAGATTTTCATCCTGGTGAAAGTGTCAAGAAGACTTTCCACGTCCCTTTGGTCACATCAGGAGTTCTGGGCCCAAGTGAAAAACTTGATCTTCATCTGCGTCATCATCATTTGCTTCCTTCCCTATCACCTCTTCAGGGCCTACTACATACAGCACATGAGTGATCTTGACCAGTTAGAAAGCTACAACGAAGTGTTTCTGAGCCTGACTGCCCTCAGCTGCCTCGACCTGCTCTTCTTCGTGCTGAGTGGAAGCCGCCTCTTCAAGCAAAAGGTGGCCATGCTCCGCAGCAGGTTGTCTTGCTGCTAGCATCTACCTCCTGCAGCGAGCCCAGTGCTGGGCAGGCACGGCAAACCCCTCCTGACCCTGTCAGGTTGGGCCTTGAAACAGGGCAACACACTCATGAAGGGCTCTATGCACTTGTCTCCTGAAATCATGGGGCGAACCACCTCCAGTGTCTTAGCTGGTAGACTGAAAGGTTACCTCTGGGATGTCCTCATGGGGCTACCTGGTGAGTTGTAGCTGCACCTGGAGGACAGGGAGGAAAGGACATGGGCTCTTCTGTCTAAATGCTTTTGCATCAACGTTTGCAAAGTCAAAGACACCAGAAGGAGACTCGAGAATTTGCAAAGTATGCAGAAACACAAAGAGAAAAACAGGTTTTTATGGAATAAGGGGCAGATTTTTGAAGCATAAAGGTCTATATAATTTTCCATCTATATTTTTATTTATTCTCCTCAAGCTCTCATAAAATATCAGGGAAACTATTGTTCCTCCTGAGTAGGTCTGTTCCTTCACTGTACAGACAAGCATAACTTTCTAAGTAAATTGAACAACTAAATCTACTTGTTAAAATAAACCAGCAATAAGTAGTAATTTCTTGAAATATTTTCTCAAAATCACCTTTTGGAGAGGGCGTCACTCACTGTAGCAGAACAGAAAGAGTTTTGTTCTTTTTTCCACACTGTGAAAATGTCTCTAACAACAAAAATTACACAGTTATGGAAATGAACGTTGTGAGTTCAAACAAAAGCCTGTATTTCTATTTACAGAATTGTTCAATTAAAAAAAAAATGTATTTAATAGTGAAAATAACTTTATTTAGATCATTCCAATTGTCTCTTAAAATGTCAAATATTTTGGGTCTCCAAGGTAAGAATGATTAATTTTTCCTTATGTCAATTTTGTGCAGTTCTGAAGTTTATAACTAATTACTCACAGTATCTTTGGATTGAAATCAGTTCTAAAAATTTAGTACCCTGTACTGGTAGAAATAAAACATTACTGCTCGGATTGGAGGGATGGAAAAAACTAATATACCTGGTGCAGCTAAAAAGCGTGTATATCTCAGCGAGGCATTGTCAGTTGCTGTCTCTGAACACGAAATTGATTTCCGCCAAAGAAGAGGAAAAAGTCAGCAAAATAATGCTGTGAAAGACATTCAGGCTTTCATAGCTCAGCTGCTTTATGCCTGTGCCAAAAAAGGAGTATAAATTTCTAACAGCTACAACCCAGGATAACAATGGCTCGTATATCTTTCTTCTTTTTGCCTGTATAAGGTCACATTTTTCCATCTGGAGTCAGTGGGATAGTATTTTAATCATTTGGCAAATCAGAGGTTATCAGCTGATCGATTTCCAGTGACAGTGTCCTCATGATGCTGCTGGAGTCCCCCTTTTCCTATTTCTGAGTCTTTCCATTCCTCTCTACTTCACCTTCACCATCTCTTGCACATCAGACAGCAATCCAATAACAGCTGGTTGATCTTGCTGTACCTGTACAATCCTACTGCTGTGCTCATTGCTGTTGGTGGTTACTTTACAGGATCCGATCTCTCTTACAGTCTTTCTTCCCTGTCTTCCATCATGCTTCAAGCTCCTCTATATCTCTCGGGAGGTCTGATCATGAGGAAGTAGTTTCAGGTCAAAGTCTGAGTAATGCTGAATAACACTAGAAGTTGGAAATCGCTGAAGTTCATAACACAAGTGAGATGTGGGGGTGTTCACATGGCCCACCCTTGGCAAATAGCTTGGATCACAACATCTGTTAATGCGGAAATGTGAGAGCTCGGAGTGTGTGTGTATCTGGGGAAAAAACTGCCTGAGAAGGTGCTTGCCCCAAAAAGATCACAGTAAAGAGGAAGATGACAACTACCAGCCAGATTCAACAGTACTCAGGGAACTACAGAGACTTTCACAACATAGAAGGAGTCAACTTAAATACATAGTTCACTACTAGTTAATGATGTGTCATAAAGAAAGCAATAAACTGCTCTGATCCAGGTTTGTTTTAAAACTACATGAGCAAAGAAGTTTTTCCTTGTGGCTGGAGAGAAGGTGAAAAATGGCACAACCTTTTTGTTTCCTCCTATAACAACCTCGTCGGTTTTGGATGTGTTCTGTAGGCTCCGCATACCTTTGTAACACTGCATTGCAACTCTTCTGTCATAATACAGTTGGTAACAAACAAAATGACTATGTGCTGAAAAAGTTGAGCAAGTCCCTTCTGCAAAAATGCATAGAAATTAGAAGTATTTTGTATCTGAAATTTGGCAAGACTTTCAAAAGCTAAAACATATGTTTATGAATAGTGCCTCCTGACCATCCAGCTTAACCAAGCTTGTTCAAACATGTGTTAAAATCACACGTAGTTTAATTCTTGTAAAATTGTACACATTCACAACACCCTGCATCACAGCATCACAAAAATGCTAGAGAGTGGGTTTCTTCTGAATAAAAACTGAAGCTAATGATGTTAATGCTATCTGGCGGCTCAGCTATTAAATCTACAGGCAACCCCATCCATGGGGTTGGTCAGGTCATGCTGAGGTAGGGCCACATGACTAATGCCAGCACAAGAGGCAAGACAGATGTTAGCACGGAAATTTAAGAGCATCTCCACATGCTTCCTATGAACCTGGGAAGCAAGACCCAGACTTGTGCTCCATGGGAGCTGCACTCCAAGGGAAGGACACTCATGGAAGAGAGCTCACAGCCCCTCATCTGCTTTAGGGGTCTACAACACAGAGAAACACAGCCACCTGCCTATGACTGAGGAGGAGGCACACACTACTGGTGGCATTACGACTTCTAAGAGATGTGTAAGAATTGCAGATAGGACTTTGTCTTCCCAATGCTTTTTCTCAGCAGCTGTGAGGCCTTACAGAGACTCTACTATTCGGGTGCTACAAAAGTATGGGAGAAAAGAAGAAAGGAAGAAAGGACTGTGCCAGACTGTTTGCATTGCTGGAAAAATCCTCTGCTGGACAACAATGATGCCAGTGGAGAGACGGGGAGCCTCACCAGCCTGGGGGCTGCATACAGAGAAACACAAATGGGTGCAAACTTCACATAGATGGAGGCTGTTCCATACACAGACTGCAGTTCCCACCCTCTGCTGCAAAAGGAGCAGCTGAATCAGGATCTGCTCAAGACATGAAATGTGTTCATACACTAGAAATAGTGTCACGAAGTAGTGAAAAGCAGTTTGCAAGCTAAATTCAGCTTGCAAGAATAAAACTATCTCTACACTAAACTGGACTTCAGAAATTTAAACCCAAAGAGCAGACAATCTGCATATATTATGATGACATTGTGAAAGCATCTATTTTGAAGAAAGCAACAGAATAGGTTGGAAATTGCAGTTCTTTCATGAAATGACTGTTTCAGCCATGTAGAATGACTGGTTTAGGCATTTCAGAAATTAGTGGCCACTTTAATACACCACTGAACTACATTCTTTACTCAGTCATCACCTGAAATGCCTAATGATTTGTAGGATTTCACTAGATGTGAACTGTAGTGGATATTGTTCCAGTGGCAAAGGGTGTTTCAGGCATCAGTCTAATGGAACATACAATCCTGAAACACAGCTGCAAATCTTACAAAGTAAAGTTGACCTCAGAATAGTCTCTATTTTAGAAAACATGATACATAGTTTGCTCTGAGATCTCCTGTGTGGCTTTGAATGGTTTGGGAAATAAAAGGTAATAAACGAGCTGTTTCTTTTAATCTAATAAGTTCAAAAAGCTGGAGATGAGATACTTTGCATAATACCTGCCTACTAGTTTCTGTCATTTTGCAAAATAACTGGGAGTAATTTGGGAAATGGCTGAAGATTTTAGTAATTGTACTAAATGACTGGTTTGACAATGACTTTAGCGTAAGTCAAAAGTTGGTGCAAAAGCAGTTGTACTTAAAAGGAAGGAGTTGAATCAGATTTCTCTTCTTGCTAAGTAATCATTCCTGAAGATGCCTCAGGACTTTGAGTTAAATTTAGAGAAGAAATGTACAAAAAGAATAAGAAATGCTCCAAGCACATGATCCCAAAGGCAAAGTATTCTGCAACTATTGCTGAAATAAAGAAGACAAAACAGAACCCCAAGTCAAAGTCAAGACATGAATCCTATCTAATTACAAAGTAAGTAAGGAGAACCTGCTCTTGCTGGGGTTTTTTAACTCTAAATGGACTGCCACTTTCCCCATGCAGATACACAGCATTGCTGCTAATAAACTACTTGCTATTTTCCTCATTTCAGATATGAAATTCTACAGTGTGGAGACACGGAGCAGTGGGTTAAGAGAAGGCAGACAAAGAGGAATGTCCCAAATATTATGTGATCATTGAGGACACGTAAGATACCATCAAAAAAAGCATCTATGTCTACTGGCCATGATGGCCCTGACCGTGTCACAAAACACTTCTTGTCTAAGTATGCAAACATCACCAGAGATGCTGTGGAGCATTTCAAACTCTCCTGTGTAGTGTACCAAGAAGAAAGAAGGCACCAAGTGAAACGGTTTCCTAGCTGGTCTGTTCTGAACAGGGAGTGCTTAGCACAGGGTCAAATTAACCTTATCAATATGCAGTCTGTGCAGCTTGAAGTGAGTAACGGTGTTCCAGGACTGCAACATCGAATTTTGTGTTCTCCATCCCCTTAAGTTAAAACAAGAACTGAGGTGGCCCTGCAGCTTCTTGACATCTTTCTCACTTTTGGAGCCCCTGTTGTATTGCAGGGTCATGATGGAGCAGAACTGATTACTCAAGACATGCAAGAACTGAAGTATTTGTGGCCTCAGCTCAGCTTGATGCACAGAAAACCAGGACACACTCAAAGCCAAAAACTAACAGAGCATCCTAACAGCAATATTAAGGATATACTCATGGAGTGAATGACAGACATTAAGTCGTGGGACTGGTTTATGGGAATATGCTTCCTTATGGGAATATGCTTCTTTGCTAAGAATTCAGTTCACCACTCACTGTGCATCATACTTAGATCTGCTTGGAACAGATCCCATGTGTGGGCT